TTCGGCCAGTTGCCTTATGGGGCACGGGGGGGGTCATGGCGTCGACGTTGTCGAGGTTGGAATGTAAGTGGCGTCGTGGTTCTGCGATGGCGCGTGTAGACGCGGCCGCGAAGGTCTTTCCACGAATCGCGTATGTTCGGTCTCGTCGTTGGCCGCGTTGCGTTGCTGCAGGTGGGCGGCCCCTGTAGCACATCGAGGGCTGCCGCTGCTTCCACTGCCAGGCGAACATCCTCGACTGTTTCCGCGGCTGCCGCCCCGCGAAGGAATGCGGGGTCGTTGCGGGAGCATCTGCGGACCTCGGGACTCTGAGCCCTGGCGCCCCCCGCGCGGGGAGTGTCGATTGCCGCTGCACGTCCGGGGGAGGACGTCCTGCGGCTGTCCTGACTGTAGGTGCGGCTCGGGCTCCTCTCGGGAGTCTCGGTGCCGGACGCAGCGCGGGCGCGGCGGCGGCCGTTGCCCGGCTCGCAGCGCTTGCCTGGGTCAGCACAGAAGCTGCACTTTGCAACGCGAGGCCAAGTGCCTCGGTCTCGTTGCGGGCAAGTGCTTTGTTTTGCGGAGGAGAAGCAGAAGTTCTTGGCACCTCCGTCTTTGCGCGGCCGTTGTGCGCCTCGTCCCGTGGAGGGTTGCTTCTCGCGGGCGCCCGCGCCGGCCTGCGGCGCGCGCCTCGGAGGTCGCGGCGTGGAGCGGTTGCCAGAGCCAGCGCGTGGCAGTTTGCGCCCTTCGCCGTTTTTGCAAAGGCCTGCCTTGTACGCAGCGCATATATGGCCAGTTCGTGACAAGTCGCCTCGTTGTTGGGGGCGTGCCGGTTACGTTCGAGGCGGCGCATCTCGACGTTGACCAGCACGCTTTCTCGTAGCCAGTCGAAAGCGCGATTGGAGTCGTCCAACTTCATCTTGTTGTAGTCGTGCATGTCTTGCTACATCCATGGGTGTCTGCGGATCTGAGCTCGGGGCAATGACTCGAGTATCTTCGTGTCGGGTGGATCACGGCATTCCAATAGTAAATTGTCCCAGTCCGCTACAAACCTGGATATCGTTGTCTCGCATGCGGATGAGGTGGAGACGTTCGAAGTCGTGCATGGTGTCTTTGATTTTCGTGGCCATGTAGAATTGTAAGACAACCCAGTAGATCTGTCTACCATCCAGCATGCGGCCCGCTGCTTGGACCTGAGCTTTGAGGTTATTCATGTGATAACCGAGCTCAGTAGTAAGAATAGCCGAACGTCTAGCGGCGAGTTCGCAATCGATGCTCTCGAGGTCGCCATTGTCTTGGGGGTCCTGGAATCTCACCAGGGCGCTCAGCAACGCAATGAAATTTGCATGCCCTAGCAGGACGTCCCGGCGCACTGCCGAAGTTCTTCCTGGCCAAATCTTGCCATTCTTGTACTTGAGTAGTGCGTGGCAGGTGAGGAACGCGAGCAGCGACTGATTTTTCCATCGGGGTAGTGCCACCATGTGACCGTATTTGCGGCGTCGGCGATGGTGCACGCGCAGGGGATACGTGACGTGTTTGTATTGGGCCTGCTGCAGAGGCAACCCCTGGCGACGTGCGTCGCTGTTGTCCTCCGCGAGCGCTTCAATCGGCGAGGGTCGGGCCACCGTCGGCGGTGGGTTCTGGAGGTTGCAGCGGGAAATTGATCTGGACGTCGCTAACGTGACCCGTCAAGGTGGCTTCGGTGGTCGCGAGATCTTTCTACAACTGCTCGACGCTCTGTCTTAGACCACGTGCCTCGTCGTTGGCGTCATAAGTTCGCTGGGAGTACCGGCCCAGCTGATGTTCTCAGTCCGGGGGTCGTCGGTCGCGCGCTTCGCGCTCAAGTTCCAAAGGTGAGCAATGCCTCGGCCCGTGCCTTGCAGCGTCTCTTTCGCGGGAGATCTGGGTGAGTCGCAACCGCGCGTGGCCCGCCGCCCCCTTTGCCTCGGCCACCTCGGCGGCGAGGGGGTCGAAATCGCAGACCGAAGTCGGGGCGCCCAGCTGCGCAGTCTGGGCCAGCACAACGCGCATTTCAGCCGGCGCATCCTGCGCGTCACACAGCCGCTGCTCGACCGCGGAGACTCGGTTCTCAAGCGCTGGCACGCGCCCCTCTGATGCATCAAGACGTTGAGCAATCGCCATCTCGGCAGTGCACAGCTTGCCGTGCAACTCGGAAGTGGTGGCAGTGCTCTCGGAGTAGAGGTTGGCAGTGGTCAAATCAACGCGGTCACGAAGCGCGCTGAGTTCATCGCGGAGCTGTTGATCCGGAATCCCACGTACCTCCTCAGTGGCAGGGACCTGCCGTAATGTCATGATCTCGTCGTGTAGGTCCTGGCAGCGGCAGCGCTCGCATCCCTGACGCCTGCGAGAGCTGCGCCTCCATGGCGAGGAGGTAGATGCGGAGCGTCTGGATGGCAGTGGAGTCTGCACCTCGGTGTGACTCCGCACGGCCAACTTGATATTGGACCTCGTTGAGGGCCGATCGATCTTCAGCGATCCGAACGTCGACCATGGCAAGAGCATGCTGGACCTCTTGCCTCAAGTTTGATGTCTGTGTCGCGCGATCGGCGACTGTCTGTTGGGTCGTGTAAATTTCAAAATGGTTTCTGAGCTCTACCATCTCATTGGCGGAGGGCGACGCGTGTTTCCACATATCGCGCCGCAGGGAATTCTGCCTTGAGCGCCTTGTGAGGAGCTGCGGCTGGTGCCCCGATGTTGAGACTGAAGATGGTACCGATGGGGTGCTCTTCGCTGTGAGGTCGTTCCGGTGCGATCCTCGATGGCTCGTGCGTGTTCAGACACGGGAACCGACGCGGGGCTCGAAGGACTTCTGGTGCCCCAGCGGCGGTGTCGCGCGGAAGCTTTCGGAGGAGACGTCTCGTTCGCGCCACCGCGGGTGTTCCCACTGGCGAAGGGATTGGAGGAGGAAGGCGTAGGTGTTTCCACCGGCGAGCGACTTGAACTAATGTTGGCTCCGGATGAGTAAAAAGTCGACTGGAAGTTGGGTCCGAATACTGCGGTGTACGATTGCGCCGGCACGGATGACTGGACAGTGTCCTTGTCTGTCTGTTGTGCACGCCGGAGCGCGGTTTCAAGGCGGGCATCGGTGCTGCCTTTTCCTGTTAGGGGGGATTGCGGTATCACTCCCTTTCCCGGCGCCCTCTCCGCGTCGTTGCGAAGCCCACGCGCCGTCGAAGAGCCACCGCGCATGGAGCCGCTGGTCCCCGTAGGTTCCAGCGCCATGCGCAAGGCTCGAAATCGGCGCGAGCTTTCGCAACGAAATGCGAAGTAGAAAAGTTTTGATGCCCTGTGAACGGAGGCTAACGACCAATGAATCGAACCTTCCGTGGGGTCCGTAGGTAGATGACGCTAGGGAGGAAATATGAGACTCTTTTGTGCATGCGCCCGTCATGATAAGGGCGTCAAGATGTCCAAGATTTTGAGCCAAGAGGATAGCAGGAAACATGGATAGAAAGGTGAGATGAGCGGTCTTCACACACATACGCGTGTATAAGTTTAGCGGCGTCACTCCCCCCACACATGCTCTGGATCGGTTAGGGGCCTTCGGGGAAGGTTGTTTGGTGTCGGCAACGCGCTGCGTGGGGGGGATCCCGATTTCGATGTTTGAAAATGCGGTGTGAAACGCACCCATGGAGCGAGGAGACGACCAAGTGTCTTGACCCACTGCTTGCAGGCAAGGGCGCCTCGTCCAGGGCAGTCTTCAGCCGCAGTTTCCCTCCGCCAGGGATGGAGGAGCGCCAGTGTGTCTCTTGCACCGCGGGAAAGCAAACGCCTTCTGAACGGTCTGAAAGGAAGGGAAGAGGTGAAGAAGGAAACGGTGGAGGGATAGGGAGGAATATGGAGGAGGAGGAGGAGGAGGAGGAGGAGGAGGTGGAGGAGAAAAGGGGAAGCAGGTCAAGGCTAGGTATGTCATTCGTCTCGAATAGCCAACTGTTTTCGTCCATGTTTGCGCTGGGGTTGCTTGAGGGCTCGGCCAGGCTGCATCTTCGACGCAACTGCACCGTCAGCACTCGGGCAGATGTTTGCCCACGCGTGCGCAAAAAAATGCCGGACGCGAGCTGTGGATTCCCGCTCGTAGAAGGTGGGGGGCTGGGCAACCCTCTCCCCCGGCGGATGGCCGAGGTGGTCCTGGTGCTCCACCCGATAGGGAATACTCGTGGGCGCTCGGGGTTTTCTTGGGGCCCTCTTCCGCTTTCCGGAACACTTTCTGGGCCTGTTGCGGAGCCTCGTGGAGGCTGTTCGGGGGTTTTCTCTCGGCTCATGGTACCCTCGAGGGGCCAGTACGAGCTAGATTGAGCTCCTAGTGGCCCCAGCTTGTCTTCATTGGCCCTCGCGGGCCACCTTACGGCCATAAGTCTTCTGAGTCTCATCTGGAGTAACAGACGCGAGAATGCCGAGTCATTGAATCATAATCCTGTTGTCAATAACTTTGGCGCCTATAATGGGCGTTCCTTAGGTCGCTCTGGGGGAATGGTGGAGTCATCTTGGGGTTAAATGGGGCCATCGCGGAGGTCATCGTAGCCTGATTTGTAAGGCCGTCGAAGTCTTCGTGGGGCCACATGGAACCTATTTGGGGGGCCCATCTGGGGCCTCGCGGGCCAGTCTCAGGCCTGTGGAGGCCTCTTGGGTCTGGAAGGTGCGTTGGCGAGTTCGTCGCCCCGCTTCCAGCAGGAGTGTGTAGCCTGGGGGGAGGGGAATTGGAGGAGGGGGACAGCCAAACATCTCACATTCCCTTTCAGCCACGGCCGACATGCGTGGGTCCGCAGATTGTTTCCCGTCGTCCTACCCATCCTCCCTCCGTTTTCCTCCATACTCCTAGCGCTGGTTCGCGCTGTCCTCCCCCATCATGCTTCTCGTGCTTCCTCATCTTCCCTCCTCCGCCCTCTTCTTTCTCCTTCGTCCACTTCCTCGACCTTGTCCTTTGTGTCCTCGTCATCGTCGTCCTCCTCTGCTCCTGTCCTCCTCATTCCTTTTCGGCATCCCCTCTTCCCGTCAGTGCGAGCGAGGATGTGCCGGAAGCACCTCGACCGGGTAGACACCCCGGCTTTGTGCAAGGCGGTCCGACAGGAGTTGGACCAGCGCTTGCGACGGCACACCAACCGGAAGGGCGAGGCTCTTCTATCTTCTCTGCCATGGGGGAAAAGGGTCCTGACCAAAGGGGTCATGCACTCTGGAAGAAAGGGGCCAGCGAGGCAAATAAGCAGAACATCCTGTCGTCCATTCACGTCCGACGTTGTTGTTCCGAATATGTTTTGTTCAAGACGCTTACGCCATCCCGCCGACCCCCAGAAGAGGCGGGGTGTCCACGGTTGAGTCGTCGTTGGTTTCTTGGTTCTTGGGCATTATTTGGGGACTCTTGTGGGCGTCTTGGGGTCCGTTTGGGGCGTCTTTTGGGGCCTATTGGGGGCTTCTTTTGGGCCGCTTGGGAGCGGAATTAATGGATTTTCGGTGCGTGTTCTCCCTATTTGCCTCTCTTGAGGCCCTCTTCTGGCGATCTTTAGCCGTCTTGGGCCCCTCTTTGGGCCGTCGTGGAACCTCTTGGGCCGTCCTCGGATACTCGTAGGGTTCTCTGGGGCAGTTTTGGGGCGGTTTACGGGGCCTCTTGGACCGTCTTTGAGCTTCGGAAGCTCGAGAAAACGATAGACCAGAAACAATGAAACACCTAAGGGAAGCAATTGATGTGACCCTCTCGGGGCCTTCTTTGGAAGGCTCTTGGAGCGTCTCGAAGGCATCTTGGGGCGTCTTGGGATATCGTAGGCATCTTGGGCCAATCGTTCGGCGATTCGGGACCGTCTTGGGACGTTTTTTGTGGCCATGGCAGATTCGGAAGCCCCGGAGCACAGCCTCGCGGTTTGGACTCCTCGGCCCGGACCCCGTGGATGCAGGGCGGCTTTGCGCGGATGCCATGCGCGGAACGCACCCATGGTATCGCGTGTCCATGGGATCGCGCCTCGGAGTCCAGGCTTCGAGGGCATGGGTGTGGATACGTATGTTCGCGGCTCGTGAGAAGGAGCGAGGGTTCCTCGATCAGGAGAGCGGAGCGATCAATCCCCGTTTGAGGGCGCTCGGGCGCGCGGCTCTCATGTCGGCAGGCAAAGCGGACACGGTGCCAGAAAGTACGGCAGAGGAGAGGGAAGGAGGGAGGGAGGGAGGAGGAGGAGGAGGAGGAGGAGAACGAGGACAAGGAGGAGGAGAAGAGGAGGAGGATACCCCGAAGAGTCCCGCGTCTCGGGCGCCCCCCCGACCCCGCGAGGTTCAGGTGGAGTGGTACATGCCGCGCTACAACACCATCTCGAAGCACAAGGACCTGCCGCCGCTTTGGTGGCATTCCCTCGTCCTCCTGCCTCTCAAGCTGGTCTAGTCTCATCATCTGCCCATGCAGCTCGGGATTGCCCGATTGTGGCCGCCCGTTTTCGCGTACAGGTCCGTGCGGCGCGCGCCGAGTGGAGCCTTAACCACTTTGACGCCAGGCGTCAAGCCTCCGCCGGTCGTGACCACAGGACGCCAGCCGGGGAGTTGCTTGTTTTATTGCGCTCAAACCTCCGCACAGCGGGCCGCCTCCTTCTGATGGCCCTCCCAGAGACCGTGCTGGCAATGGTCGCTCGCACGGCTGAGAAATTTGGGGATTACACGGCGCTGATGATTGAGGGGGCGAGCTATGGGTAGATACAGCTAAATCGTGGCGGCGAGGTTGTGATTATATTGATTATTGATTGTCAAGTGCGCCAGACCCAAGAAGCCAAGACACCAACTAGATGTGGCGTTCGTTATGCTCCCGAGCAATACCTCTTCGTCAACTGGTCCTGACTGATATTCACGTTTGTTTCATCCGATTTTCATCATCCGTTTTGTTTCATCATTTCATCCCTATAACTTCACCCGTTTAACCTCACCCATTTTAACTTCATCGGTTTAAGTTCGCCCGGGTTTCAATTCATCAGTTGTTTCGTCGGGTTTAATGTAATCCGGATGTAATTCGACCGGTTTAAATTCATCTGGTTTTGATGTGTCTTTGTTTCGTTCGTTCTGTAGATCCGATCAATTTACAATTCTCCCCGTTGGAACTCTTCCAGTTTGAATTCATCTTGTTTTAGTTAGTCCGGTTTTGATTCGCCCAGTTTAAATTCATCCGGTTTAATTCGTTCGTTTAAATTCGTTTTGTTTTAATTCGTCCGGTTTACATTAATCGGATTCCAAGTCGAACGTCTGAATTCATCCGTTTCTAATTCGCTTGGTCTAAATTCATCCGGTTTTAATTCGTCTGGTTTGAATTCATCCGGTCGTCATCTTTGCGTTCTAAATTCATCCGGTTTTCATTCGCCTGGTTTGAATTAATTCGGTTTTAATTCGCCCGGCTTAAATTCATCCGTTTTCAATTCGCCCAGTTGCATTTCATCTTGTATTACATCCCGCACGCATCGCTTCTGCATCGCGTGTGCATCGGCAATGCGTCGGCGACGCTAGCGATGCATCGTCGCCGTTGGCTTGAAGAGAGTCTAGGAGAAAACGAACCAGGGACCGAGAAAACGAGACCACGGCCCAGGGGCGGAGAAAACGAGAATACGAACCAAGGTCCGAGAAGACAAACCACGACCCAGGGGCCGAGAAAACCATACGCTGGGAACACGAACCAGGGTTCGAGAAGACAAGGCCGCAACTCCAAGCCGAGAAAACGAGAATACGAGTAAACGAACCAGGGTCCGAGACAACGATATCACGACCCAGGGACTGAGAAAACGAGAAAACGGGAATACAAACCAGGGTCAGGGAAAACGAGACCACGACCCAGAGGCCGAGAAAACGATAAAACGAACCAGGGGCCGAGAAAGCGAGACAATGACCCAGGGGCCGAGAAAACGAGAAACCGAACCAGGGTCCCAGAAAACGAGACCACGACCCCGGATATGAAAGAACGAGAAGCGACCCAGCGGCCGAGAAAACGATAAAACAAACCAGGGCCCGAGAAAACGAGACCACGACCCAGGGGCCGAGAAAACGAGAAACCGAACCAGGGTCCGAGAAAACGAGAAAACGACCCAGGGGCCGAGAAAACGGGAAAACGCGCCAGGGCCCGAGAAAGCGAGACCACGACCCAGGGGCCGAGAAAACGAGACCGCGACCCAGGGGCCGAGAAAACGAGGAACCGAACCAGGGTCCGAGAAAACGATGCCACGACCCAGGGGCCGAGAAAACAAGAGTACGAGAAAATGAACAAGGGCCCGACAGGACAAAAAACACAACCCAAGGGCCGAGAACACAAGCACACAAACCAGAGTCAGAGAAAACGAGAGCACGACCCAGAGGCCGAGAAACGGGAACACGAATTATGGTCCGAGGTCACTAGACCGCGACCCAGGGGCCGAGAAAACGAGACAACAAACCAGAGGCAGAGAAAACGAGACCGCGATCCAGGGGCAGAGAAAACGAGAAAGCGAACCAGGGCCCGAGCACACGGGACCACGACCCAGTGGCCGAGGCAACACGAACCAGGGTCCGAGAAAACGAGACCACGACCCAGGGGCCAAGAATACGAGAACACGATAAAGCTAACCAGGGTCTGAGAAAACGAGACCACGACCCAGGAATCGAGAAACAGAGACAACGAGAAACGAACCAGGATCCGAGAAAACGAGACCACGACCCATGGGCCGAAGACAACGAGAAAACACGAACACGAACCATGGCCTGAGACAACGAGACCACGACTCAGGGGGGCAGAAAACGAGAGAACAAGAAAACAAACTAGGGTCCAGAAAATGAGACCACGACCCAGGGGCCGAGAACACGAGAAAACGAGAAAACGAACCAGAGCCCGAGAAAACGAGACCACGACCCCAGGGCCGGGAAAACGAGACAACGAACCACGACCCAGGGTCCGAGGACCACGACCAAGGGGCCGAGAAAACAAGATAAACGAACCAGGGCCCGAGAAAACGAGACCACGACCCAGGGGCCGAGAAAACGAGATTACGAGAAAACAAACCAGAGCCCGAGAACTATAAGGCGAGTGAACGAACCAGGGTCCGAGAAAACCAGACCACGACCCAGGGTCCGAGAACGCGAGAAAACGAGAAAACTATGCATTAACCAGGGTCAGAGGAAGCGAGAACACGACACAGGGGCAGAGAAAACGAGAAAACGAGAAAACGAACCAGGGTCCGAGAAGTTGGGACTTGCCAGAGCAGCCCGGCACGCAGCCGTGCAGCTCTGGGCCGCCGCCCTCATCCATCTCCGCTCCTGGGGATGGCGAATCCTCTCCCCCTCCTCCCCGCCGGCTGCAATGCTGGTGCCGCTGCCCTTCCTCCTCCTCCTCCTCCTCCTCGCCCTCCTCTGCCTCCCCGGCGTCCGCCCCCTCCTCTGGTTCCTCCTCTGCTGTCTCCTCCTCCTCCGTCTCCCTTGCCTCCTCGTCCTCCGCCACCTCGTCCTCTCGTGCCTGCCCCAGCCTGTGCTGATGGGGCAGCCTGCTGCTGCGGCTGCGCCGCCGGCGCTGCAGCGCCGCCCGCCGCGGTCCCGCCACCCTTGGCCCGCCCTCCTCCTCGACCTCCTTCTCCTCCTCTGACTCCGCCTCTGGCTGCACTGACTCCGCCTCTTCCTCCTCCGCCTCCTCCTCTTCCTGCTCGTCCTGTTGGCCTCGGGCTGCGCCCTCCGCCCCTGCCCCCTCGTCCTCCCCTGCCGCTGCGGCCGGGTGCCGCTGCGTCGGAAGCTGCGGCTGTGCTGGCTGCCGCCTGCGGCGGCGCTGCCGGCGGCGGGGGACCGGCTGCCGGGGGCGCCGATCCCGCGGCACTTCCATTACCTCCGCCAGAGGAGGATGCCGCTATTGCTGCCGGTGCTGGGGCCTCTCCCGGCGCTCTGCACACCGTGACGCGCGGCAGGTTGTTCACCCTATCCTTCCATCGCCACATGCGCTGGCATTTAAGGCATCTAATGATGCCCTCGTCTTCACTACCGATGTCCTTGCCAGTCTTTCTGTTCCACTGGAGCTCGTGTTGGCCGCGGTTGTATTTGCTATTGAGCTCGGCCTCCAGCTTGTCCAGCCTGGACGCCGAGTTGTTGTAGCCTTCCTGCGTCAGCCACCGGTCTGGCGGCAGGGCCGCCTGCTCGCACGGCTTGCCCGTGATCTTGAGGCGCACGTGCTGCAATCTCTCCACAAACTTGCCGCACTTCCGGCACCACACGCCGGGCTTGCCGCCGGGTCGCTGGGCCAGCGCGTGACCATTCTCGTGGGCAGGCGCCGCATTCGTGCCGAGCTCCACGCCGCGCAACTTCTCCCCCTCGTGGTACCGGGCGATGTGCCTCGACCAGATGGTGACCAGCATGGCCTGGAGGGTGCGTGCCTGCTGCCGGGTCAGCACCGACTGTCGTGGGATCACGCCCGCGTAGCGCACGCAAATCGGCTGCTGGGCGACGTCGCGCGGCAGGCCCTGAAGCGCGGGCGCCCGGACTGAGGCGTAATCTCCGCACTCCCACGAGACATGGAGTATAGTCTCTTCGGCTCCGCAGAAGCACTTGCGGTCGCTGCCGTCCTTCCGGTGCCTCGCGTTCCTCTCTGCCGTCATGAGCCCACCGGCGAGGATTAGGCGAACCACGCCAAGCTGCTTGCGTGCCGTATCTGTCGCGGTGGAGACCGTGCTGCCGTCTCCCGCCGTCTCCGCCTCCCCCTCCTCCTCCTCCTCGGGGTCCCTCTCCTCGACCTCGTTGGCCAGCCTCTGGAGCTCGTCGTGGTATGCCATCGTGCGTTCTCTGTCGATGTGGCTTGCCCCTGCGTAGTGCTGCTCCCGGTCCCGTACTAGCCGCGTCGCGAGTGCGCTGCGCCAGGCATCTCTCAACGTATGTAGCCATTCCTCCTCCTCCGCCTCGCTCCTCACGTTCCCATCCATCAAGTGCTGAACCCCTGGCCCGAAAACTGGTGATCTGCTCAACACACGCAGCCTCGACACAGGTCCGTCGCGACGAACGGTAGGTACCTGCCCAAACCGCGCGCGCAACACTGTTGCCACCTCTGGGTTCCGCATGGTGCGCATCACCGTACGTAGCCCCTCGTATACAGCACCAAATTCTGGGTCGAGATGTACAGGAGCCAGTAAGGCAAACGTCAATGCCGGACTCATGGAATAGCTGTCCGTTTTCCATAAAGCCTGCATAACCACCGTCCTGACTTTGCGGAGCGCCGAGACATCACTGACAAGGCAGTGTGTGCCCTGACAGAAAAATGCCTGTGCCTGGGTAGCCCGAAGCATTCTTGCACGATCTGCCCATGGCCGGGGTACCATGCGCACGCGCCCTGCTGTCAGCTTCCATTTCTCC